AAAATAGCATTATTCTATCTCAGGGCTACACAGAACATTTTCCTTATTGTTTTTTTTTTTCAGGTTTTCAAGAAACTGGCTAAGATAGGAAAATTATTATCTAAGTTAAACCAATAGAAGAAATCCTTCCTTTGCTATGAGACTGTTAAATTTCATATCTAAATAAAAAGTTAGATCTTTCTTTCACTTTAAGAATTAAGTGTTGTTAACAACAAATTAATTGAATGATCAGACATCCAACTCTTTCCTGAAGTTTCAGGTCTTCTTTAAAATTCTCAACACAAATAATTTCTAATTTCTTAATTCCATCAGTATTTGAGTCGGTATATTTTGTCAGGGCAAAGTTCACTACCAGCATTAATTGTTCTCATACAATTTTGTTTGTACTATCTTCACCAATGCCTAGCAGCAGTAAGACCTTTCAGAAACATGTAATTTAATCAGTTTCAGAATCGGCCCACTAATTCTAGACATTCAGGAAGAAAACTGTTCGCTGTACATAATCCATTGTCAGTATAAAGACCAGTCAGAAGTGCCTACCTTCAAAGACGACTCAGAGTTTTGTCTGGTATTTTATTCCTCAGATATGAAAACTACAGAATTTCTATATGGGTACAGTTTTAAGAACAATTTAAAAACCGCTTCAATAAAAGGGAAGCCTCTAGGAATGATGAGACCTTTTCTTAAACTGGTATGCTAAAATGTTTTTTCAAGCATGTGATGCCATTTGCTTAGCTGAAAATATTACACTTCATTACTAATGGCTAAATATCACTTACAGATGTATAAAGGACAATCTGGCTGATTTAAAAGAAGAAAGTTTGATATAATTTCCATTGAACCGCATCTTTTGATATGTTTTGTGAGTCTCCATTTAAGTGTTTCTTTTTGTAGTAACAGCAGTGAAAGCTTAAACCTAAACTCAATGGTCTACTCAGACACCATTGACAGAAATGTGTGTTGAAGTTCAGCCTTCTAGCAAAGCGCTAGAATAGCAAGCAAATTTCAAAGGAATGATGCTCATTCTTCTCAAATACCTTTCACAATGCTTGGGAGAAAAGTTGATAACATTCAGTCTACCTTTTGGAGTTCTTTACTTGCCAAGATCCTCCTTGATTCACCAAATTCATACATACATATGGGCATAATCTATATAATTAGATATAATAGATGTAATTAGATAAAATATATCATGCATACTAACTTCAGAATATCTGCATCCCAGACACATTTACTTATACCCTCTCTAGCAGCATGAGTTTAGACAAAATTTTCAGTTGTTTTGACATAGACTTTTTCAAAATTTACCTTTATGGTCATAAATCACCTCTGATTACTTTAATAAGGTCATTTTGAATGTGAAGATGTCTTTGTAAGTTCATAAATTTTCTTGATCACTTTATGCCTGTGGCTTGTATATTGTAATTCTGACAATTCATGCACATAGCATTATGTCATAAATTACCACATTTATTTTGGCATGAGTCTCAGTATTCATGAACACTGCCTCTATTATTTAAAGATGTAACATATCTGAAACACAGGATTAGATATCCAAGATAAAGGAACACTTAGGAAAAACCCTAATGCTCAGACAAGGGATGAGGACTGGATTTTTCCTGATTATTTGGGAGGCAACTCTAATTGAAAGAGGAAACAACACTTGATGCCCAACTCTTTGAAGCATTCGTGAAAACCCAGTTTAAAAAAAATATCCCACATCGGGTATTAAATTACAATACCTTACGCAAGATTTCTAATGACACAGAAGTATCATTAGAAATACTTATCTTGTTATACAAGTCTGAAAAGAAACAACTAAAGTGAAAAGGTTACTGCAGTAACCTTTACTTTAAAATTAGCCTAGATGGAGAACTCTCCCTGACAAAATCGATAATTATTTAAGATGAAATCTATATAATGTGAACTATTAAAATTTTGTGTCATATTTTGTGGAAAAGGCAGCAGGCTTGATCATAAACCAGATTATATGAAAAATATTATGAACATACCACACTGCTATTGAATATAATTAGTTCTCAGGCTTTTAAACTTGCACACACTTAGGTTTTTACATCTGAATAGGTCCACTGAAATCAATCATATCTATCAAATAAAATTAAAACAATTTATACAGATTATACACCAAATCAAATTATGTTAGACTAAACACCAAGTGCCTAGCAAATAAAAAACCTCCTTCAACAAAACTAGCCCATGCGATACTAAGTGACTGCATATTTTTGATATAACAGGCTGCAGCTTAATCATTTCAACCTTTAATTACTGCATCAGATAATGAATATTTTGAACATATGCTTCTCCACTCTGCTAGAAGACATGAATGAAAGAGAAACAAGTTTATATGCATGCTACTATGTGTGCACATTGGGGGAGGGAGTAGCACGCTAAACAGCAAAAGGAACCAAGTGGCAACAATTGGAGAAAATGGTATCTGGAACAGCTGCTCCTTTCAGATTCCCCTAGAAGGAGACTGCCTGAGGTGGACCGCAGCACAAAAGGATAAAGAAGATGAAAACTGATGCAAAGCAGGAAAATAACTGCCGAGACCCCTGAGTCTACACCCGAATAGTCCCAAGCTGTGTGGCAAGACCTCTTTAGCATGCTACAGAAGCTGGTGATGAACTACATATTACCATGAGGCAAACTGGCTCCTAGCAGTATTGTCTGCATGTTATGTGTAGTGATAACCAGCAGTCCTCTGGGAACAGGATGCAATGATTTCATCTCCGTAAGCATCTGAGCTCCCCTTGGATAGAGAGACCATTAAACTGAGAACAGAAGGGTAAATTTTAGGCAATGATTTCTAATTGGAGAGTGTAGACAACTTGTGCTTGACAGTACTGTCAACTACTGATATTTTACTACTGTCTATATCGATCACTGTTAAGGAGAAAAGGAACTCAAATTTTACTCTTTTTCCTTAGTCCCAAAACACACACTATATTTTCTGAATGAAAGTATTTCATCGGTTTCTTCTGCAATATTATTGGAAATGCCATTATATTAGCAAACACAGCTACATTATAATATTATATTATTTACACTGAAAAGTATTGGTATTTTCATTACTATTAAAATAACTTTTTATACTCTTAACATAATGTATCATATATGTTTTGTACTACAGAGATTTTCTTTCCCTGTTAACAAAAATGCACATTGCTTTCCTTATCTGTCAGGTGTTTTTGTAAGACTAAAAACAATAGGCACAACCTATTATGTATGTATTTTAAATTAGTGGTAGTATATTACAAAATTCAAGGTTTCAGAATCTTCTTTAAAAAAATAATAATTCTGCATGTGACAAAAAGAAATGGAACTTTCAAATGATTGCTGTAACTTCTTGGCAGGAGGCATGGGTGAGCAATGAAGGGAAAGAAGTAGCTATAAAATGTAAGCAAAATGGATCTGGAGGAAACAATACCAGGACAACTAATATTTTTGACACTTTCAAGGGTAGTTTGATCCTTTGTATATCATGGACATTGTGCAGTCTTGTTCATTAATTAATTTCTCCTGTGATGGAGAGATCAAATATGCATGTGGTCTTCTTTATTTGGCACATTTGTTTATCTTGCTGCTTTTCATCATTCACACAGTTTACTGTGACTCTCAGAAACTTAGCAGAAATGTTGATCAGGTAAGAATGCTGGCACACTTGTCAATCAAAAACCAATGCAGACAAAGTTCAATACAAAAAATTGTAGTCTAATCTGTCATACTGTATTCTTGGAAGAGATCAAATATTCTCTTCTCATTGCTGTTGCAACTATTAGATATAATTTTATAAAATTATATGTAGCTTTTTTAAAGTTTGAAATATTTTCATATTCAGTAGAGACTCTGACTACAACTAACATGAGAAGAGGCTCCCACTTTCCAGCATTCAGTGGATTTATATAGAAGATAACTCTTCAATGCTGATAGGCCTATGTATGAAGATGGTCAATAACTTCTGGAAAAATTGTATTACAAATCATTAAAACCATGTGAGAGGAAATTTTGAGGCAGAAATCTAGAACCCCTCCTACACTGCAGAACCCAAGCAAGCAATTTTGAAACCCATGCTGAATTCACTCTGTGACTTCTATGGGTGTATCTCTGAAAAAATAAACCACCACAACACAAAGTTGACCACAAAGAATGACCTCCACAAAATGTGTTTGTAATAAAGTACTGAGTCATTCCACAGCTAAAGGGACAAACAGAAATAGTAATTATCCAGCTGATTAATCACAGTAATCACTGACAAAATATTCAAACAAATTTATTTTCCATTCAACATTTTTAAGAGGATCATGGAGGACTGTGACTTCTCTGATGACTGGCACAGACAAATCAAGTTGCTGCTTATCTTTCCTCTCACACCTATGATGAACTAGGGTAACCCTCCTTCCAGACTAGAATTCCACAAGTAGAATTCTCATTGTCTTAGAATTATCACTTATGGGAGACTCAAGGGAATCATGAGAAGAGGAGCTTGACAAGTATCAACAGAAGGGATTGCATCAGCATTACAGCTTTTCACACAAAAAGCAATTTGCATATTTCTACATTCCTCATGTTCTGAAAAGTTCAACATACGAATTGATATATTTTTAACTGTTGCTCACAAATATGCTGTGTCAAACTAGTTTGCAAAACTGTTTTTTTACGCAAAAACCTAACTAAATAGAAGCTGTTTTATATGTGTATGAATACAGGAAAAGGAAAGCCAGTCACATATAACCTGAATTGTCAATTTATATTATATTTCTACAGATCCAAGCATGGAAACCTGGACTCCATCAGTTCTGGAATTTATTGGAACCATAATTGCTCAAGCTACATGGAACCCTGTCTACAGAACTACATAGAGTTATAAAAGGTCCATGAGCCAAGTCCCTCCAAGTCTTTTACACTCTTCAAAATGCCTAAGATGCAAGGAGGCAGAGAAAAGCATTGGGAAAGCTAAAGCAACTTTAAAAAAATCTTACTGATAACGCTGTCTGCTGTTCTCCAGCAAAATAATATGCTAAACTTAAGCAATACGCAGCTTCTCCTTCCATCTTCATATCACCTCCTAAAGAAAGGATTAAAGTTACAGTTACTAGAGTAATCTGAAAAAAATTAGTACAGACAGTTCTTGCAGGTTCTTCAGTAACATACAGATGTTTAAATATTGTAGTAAGTTTTTCCTTCTTACCCTTGCCATTTACCTCTTTCCAAAAATATACAGCGGTAATTAAAAGCATAGGCTATGGATTTAAACAGAGCTCAACAAAAAAGTTCAACAAAGTCAGAGAAAATATCTTCCAGTAAGTAATGAAGTATAATCAATTTAACACGCTGTAATGTTCTCTGTCATTAATTGTTTAATAATACTCACAATATCTTCACATTAAAAAATCATAGGAGCCTCTCTCTGTATATTCACATGTAAATAAAAGTAGCTACAAATATATAACACACCCTAATATATAAACACAAAATATGTTGACCCATGCACTTTGCTAATGTGAATACTAGTGAAGCATCACGAGAGAACTATCAGTAGACCGGATTCATATTTCTTATTCTCATGGCTATTTTGCAAGCTACTGTAGGCTAGAATAGCTAAAAAAAGTGGTAATTTATACTTGCAAGAAGTAGTCATAGAAAATTCTGCACAGGCAGTTGCTAATTGAGGTGCATCACACTTTTCCATGCCAGATTTTATTTCACTAGTCTAACAAACACTGCTTGCTGGTGTTTTTATGTTGTTCCCTCAATAGAAAATCATCCATTCAATACAATTAATTCTAGAAATGCTTACTGTATCACACTATATTAAAAAATTTCCCTCCAGAACATGAATATCCATTAAAAAACTGTACATGAAATTATACTAAAAATAGCCCAAAATCCAGTCTTCCTGTTGCTCAGTATCCATCTGCTCAAACACAATAAAGTTTCACAGAGGGGTAAGTGAAAAGTTGCTAGGGATATAAAAAATTTCCTTCCTCACTTAAGAACAGTCTGAGAGTCCAAAGTGGGTAATATCTAATCCTAATTCATAAAATACATAAACACAGATGATGGTCCAGAAGGACAGAATGGATATTACAGCCAGAGCCAGTATAGTTTTACCTATATTGTCAAATATGGGCTCCATAGACAGAGGTTATTTCTGGAATGTGGACTGGAGAACTTGTCTGAAAGGAGCTTCTAAAGCTTAAATTTAAAGAGAACAATGGCAAGTATACTTGTGCACAGTGATATTTACTGCATGTCTCAGGAAGCTATGAAAGTGATTGATTCAAAGTAAGGGCACTGGAACACCTGCCTGGTCAAAATAAGTTTTGGAAAGGCATCAGATCCCTTTTGACAATCTCTTCATTTCCATCAGTCTTCACTAGCAATAGGAAGAAGTTGATGGGAAACTTCATCAGCAGTCTTTCTAGTTACTACAGTAAATATTAGTAGCAGCAGTTTTACTGTAGTTGTGACTTACGCACGTATTATAGACAACAGCTGTAGAAAAAGCTAAAAGCTTGTATTTGATCAACAGATGCAGCTAGAAAAGGTGAAGGTTTTTTGTACCTGTCCTTCTTCAGCTGACTAATTGTATTGGCATTCTCAGTATTGAGAGTATTCTCCCAAGAGAAAAGTTCTAAACAGGCAACGCACAAAACAGATCTACTAATGTAAATTTCAGGTAAAACCAAAATAGGTTATTTAGTGGTTTAATTAGAAGCAAAAATTAGCCAAATAAAATCATATACACTCACAAATTAAACATTTGGAATGGAAAGAATGGAATTCTTGCCCCCGAAGTCCTGTTTGGTTTATTCCTCAAAAATTACCATATAAAAGCATTTAAATTTCAAATGCTGCTTTAAAATATTATTCTTCATGAGATAAGGCAAGATAAGAAATTTTGATTCTTTAGAATTAATATAATCAAAGACATTATATTAAAAAACCTGAAATAGAAATAATTTGCTGGCACTTCTAAAAATAATAAACAGCAAAGTTCACATGGGCTTAGATGCCTGAAAGCTTGTTCATTTTTTCCCAGAGTATCTGGGAGTCCAAGAAAGATATTTCTGTTTAGGAACTCGCCTTGGCTTCACTGAATACATTTCATACTTTTCTATAGATTGCTGTGTTATATTATCTACCTGTATAGTCATATATTTATTTGTGGCAAAACTTATTTTAAAATTTGGAAAATATTTTAAGGTTTTTTTGTCATTGTTGATAGTTTAATTCTATCTATCCTAACTACTACCCAAAGACTGGCTAACAGATTAATGTTGGGCACACATTATTAAATTTAAAAAACTATCTGGTGATAAATATTGAATTAATATTATAAATTAACTGTATGTGCAATTCATATGCAAAGTATGCCCCTTAAGGAATACCATGAAAGGCTCTTGAATTGCTGTGCATGGAAAAAGATGATTATTTGAGACCTATCTTACTTCTCAGAAGCACTCCAATAATCATCTAGGATAATCATCTAGGAAAAGTAAGTCTGTAGAAGTGGATGTTTAACAGCATCTTTTAAGAAACAAGGATTATTAAGATTTCTGAAATATCTGGAAAATTATGTGTATTTTCATGAAGTCAACTTGTAAGATTTGCCTCTTATTTTCTGTTCCCTCTCATGTGTAAGAAATGCTCCAGAGCATGGCATTTCTAGCTGATCAACATCTCACATTATATAAAACATTCAAATGCTATTCTGATTTCCCCCAATTTTAAACCTATCCACACTCAGACAAAGCTGCATACATCCATCTAGAACAAGGCAGCGATCAGTAATCGTCAGCAGGACTTAACACAGGGAATTCGTGCTTCATCAACCTGATAGCTTTCTATGATAAGACAACTGGCTTGGTGGATGAAGGGAATGGGGTGGATGTTGTTTCTCTCAATTTTAGCAAGGCTTCTGACACTGTCTCCCAAAACATCTTCCTACACAAGCTGGTAAAGTATGGCTTAGACAAATAGTGAGCTAGACTGAAAACTAGGTGAGTTGCTGGCCTCAAGGGTTGTAAACAGCAACATGAAGTCCAGTGGGAGGCCAGACACTAGTGGTGTACTAAGGGATAAATACTGGCACCAATACTGACTAATATCTTCATTAATGACCTGGATGGTGTGACCAAGCACACTCTCAGTGCGTTTGCAGGCAAAACAAAATTGGGAGGGAATGGTTGATCCACCAGGTAGGTGGTTGTGCTGTCATCCAGAGCAACCTTGTCAGGCTGGAGAACTGGGCTGATGGCAGTCTCATGAAGTTCAGAAGAGGGAAATGCAAAGTCCTGCACCTGGGGAGGGATAATCCCACACCCCAGCCCAAGCTGCAGGCCGACTGGATGGAAAGGAGCTTGGCAGAGAAGGGCCTGGGTTTCCTGGGTTTCTCAAGCTGCACATGAGACAGCAATGCATGTTCACGGCAAAGGCGACTGATGGGATCCCGGGCTGCATTAGCCAGAGCGTTGTGACCAGGTCGAGGGGGGTGATCCTTTGATTCTTTGCCTCTACCCAGCACTGGTGAGGTCACCCCAGGAGTGTTGTGTCCCCTTCTGGGCTCCCCAGTACAAGAGAGAGGGGGACATAATGGAGTAAGTCCAGCAAAGGGGAGCAGAGATGACTAAGTGACTGGGAGCATCTCTCCTAGGAGACGGGGCTGAAGGAGACCACAGAAGAGGAGGCTCAGGGGGGATTTCATGAATGTGTACAAATTCCTCATGGGAGGGTGTAAAGAAAATGGAATCAGGCTTTTCTCAGGCTTTGTCAGTGACAGGACAAGAGGCAAAATTGAAATTCCATCTGAACTCAACAAAATACTTTTTCATTGTGAGGGTGTTTGAACAGCGGAATTCTGTTTTACAGAATAGTTATGGAGTCTCCACCTGTGGAGATACTAAAAACTTGGCTGGATGTAGTCCTAGGCAGCCTGCTCTAGCTGACCCTGATGATCTCCAGACATGTCTTTTCCTACCTCAGCTATTCTGCAATTCTGTAATTTTTTACTTTAGGTTTCAAAGTATTTACATGTATTAAGATATACAGAAGAAATCTTATTTGCTTATGGTAGAAAACTAGTTTTTGCGAGTACTAAGTAACTATGTAGCGTGAAAAGGTAGTGTTCCAGCAGATAATATGGCTCAAAAATTGCAAAGTCAACAGTAGCTAGACAATCAGAATCAGTGAGCTGAGCTTCCATCAGTGACCTCACTTTCTGATTATGGGTTCAGTCTTTCATACCATTATTCCCACAAGGTTGGTTTTTCGGAGATAAAGCTTTTAGAAATCTAA